GCTGTGCCTGTTGCGTGCGTGTGCTTGCGTGCGTGCGCGTGCGTGTGTGTGTGTGATAGAAAGAGAGAGAGAGATTGACGGTGAAGTCCAGTTTATCTGACTCTGATTCCTATTTTATATGTAGGAATCTGATTCTGGTTCTAGATCATGTTCAGTTCTGATGCCAGATAACCAAACTCCATACCACTTCTGTCAAAAAATTTGATTCCAGTCTGTCAGAAATTGACTCAGTCAGAAATATTTTGGCCGGAATCAATTCGGAATCTTATCCCTCTTCCTGTTCATCTGGAATCCCCCCCCGCCCCACAGCCGTACCTTTAGCTCCAGCTTTCCGGCTCTGCTCGAGCGTTGCCGTGGCGCCGAAGAGTTCTGGTGTCGGTGAGCGTCGTCCTCCGGCAGCAGCACCTCCTGGCAGGCGACGGCGTACATGAGGTGTCCGTAGAGCGGCATGCGCGCGCACGCTACGTCCAGCTCTCCCTCACCACCGCCGCCGCCTAGCTTCCGCGTGTAACGCGCAAAGCACTCTTCATTGCAGACGCCCTGCAGTGATTTGCCTGCAACAAGTTGGGAGACGATGCATCGGTGACTCTTTATTTTATTTTTGCGTGTTTTTTTTGGTTACTTTACAGCGTGGAGACAGTAAATCTAACCTACATCAAACATAAGCACGCATAATTACTGTTACATAGCTTTTAGAATATTATATTATAAACACAGTGCCGCAGAGCGACAGCGCCTCCATCTAACGTCTACTGCGGTGACTCTGTGGGAAGTGGCTGGGATTCCTAGGTAAAACCTGTTAGTCCCAATGTGTTGCACATGACACGCCGCAAACAGTGGAATGCAGCAGGCATAGGTATAGCGAACGGCTTTCTCAAAAAGAATGTTCGTTGGGATGTTATCGAAGTTGGCCACGAGATGGCGCTGTACGTTAAGTGTCTTCAGATTAAGATGGAAGCTCCATCATACGTAAGTAGCAACAACTATTGCAAGAACAGAATAGGTAAGCACTCACTGCATTTACCTACGCCAAGCCTAACAGCTTGCAGAATTGCGCAATAGAGCAGCTGCCACCTGTAACATTAACGCACAAAAACTGCACCAACACATGCCACTGCAGCAGCCACTTGGCCAGTGGCATACGTTACATTGTAACATACTGACAGTACGAATGACAATAGAAATTATCTACGTTAAGGACACATACACCTTCTTTAACCAAATTTAGCTTTTGAAATTCACTGCTGACATGTAGCCTCATACATCCATCCAGGCATGTTATAGATTCTACTAGGCAAACCGCGGCAGTCAAATTCTTTCTAACAGCACAGTCAACAAATCCAAGTTATAAGCCTCTCGTTGAGGTCAATAAGGTTATCGACACTTACTCTTCGCCATGTCAGCAGAAGGGACATTTCATGCGTCCTTTCAATAAAGCCATAAAATGCTAGGTCACCGCGCTGAAAGCAAAAAAGTTTTTCATCGCCTCCGTCAGAACCATGCTCCTCAGAAAATGTCTAAAATCTGCCCGTGGCCCCTGACCCTTTGCCTGGTGACCTCCGATTTCGGCACAGCTGATGGCTTTTCTACCATGATGCTATGACACGCCGACTATCACGAGCCTAGGTCGCAGCCGTTTAGATTTTGTGCCGCGCAATTTCTGCATTTCCTCCCTATTACCTTAAGTTAAGGACAGTGAAGGTGTTCCCCTTCTTTTGACACCTCTCTGACCTTTGACCTTGTGACCCCAGCGCTCGACATCCAAACTCGTTTTCGCATTACCCCCCCACGTCCCGAATATCGTGACGCGTACGTCGAGCGTTTTTAAGATTTTGCCCAACTGTTTGCACGCGTACGCATCGCACGACGCACGGACGACACGCGACGATGGCATGCGATTCTAGCAAGCTGCATCTGACTATTGCTCAGATGAAGCTAAAATACTGTATTATTATGATTATAATGATATATTTCAATATCTGGTAGCCGCGATCTATAACATTCAACCGATTATTTTCGATCATTGATCGGTTGGGTGCAACCGATGATCGATGACGAAATTCCAACAGATTCCCATCACTAACTATAGGTATTGTATCCACCCGCATGCTCACAACCTCTAGTAGCAGCCAATAGTATACCATGTAACACGTCTCCGTGTTTGTCGATAAGGTGGCCGTCACCGATGTCTGTGAGCAGCACCCTGTTGTCTGATGTGACGGCCAGGTGGTCATAGGTGAGCTCGGAGAACATGAAGAACCATCTGTTGTCCGTGTGCTGTAAACAAAGCAAACCTTTGCAATGCTAACAACAGCAATCGGAGATAGCAAACCTCTGCCACAGCTTAACAGCCCCCCCCCCTCATATAGCTATACATAGTCTATGTATAGCTATTGATCTAATTTGTAGTCGGGTTTAACGCGGCGGTGACACATCATAAACCTCTACAGAGAGCGAAAGCGAAACGAAGCAAAGCGGTTAGAGAGTAAACCGCTACACTACCATTAATGATGAGAAATCCTTCAAAAAATTCCTGGATCCAGATCTGGATCTGAATCACCACCAAAATAGAATCGATCGATTCTTGGCCCAAGACCAACCCGTCCAAAAAATTCCATCAAAATCCGTCTGTAACTTTTTTTGATATCCTGTTGACAGACAAACAAACCAACCAACAAACTAACAGGGGCGAAAATAACCTCCTTGGCGGAGGTATTAAGGCTGCAGCATTTAAGTTCAAGGAACTGATCCTTCTTGTCATGGATACCGAAATGTTTTCCCCAGTCAGTTAATTCTTTATTGGCTATTGTCAGGGGTATGTAGACTAGGTACGATCAAAATATCATTAGACACCCCCACTCCATTTATATCTGAAATAGACAGAGTTTGACATTTTGCCCCCAAACTCATCTAAAGTTGCTAAATACTCCTAATAGTTAGCGCTAATGTTAAAGAAACCGATAAGCACTATAATCTCACAAAAGATGCCCGTAGGTGGCAGCACCTACCTGGAAGTCATCGATCATCTGTAGAATTTGTGAAGCGAGGTCGGCTCGAACCTCCCACCGCTCGTCGACGAAATCCGCCAGGGGGCGCAACCCTCCCTCAACGACGGACATGCGCCCGCAGGTGCCCATGTGTGATGGCAACGCCCACACACTCCGCTCCTTACTCAGTAACTATGGCAACAAAGAAAGGGAGAGAGAGGACCCACGATTATGTTTTGGACTAAAAAGTGGGTGGTGGGGGACGGAGACCACACTGGGAGGCAGAGGAATATGTGGGGCAAGAGATAGATATCGCTGCCTATAATGTAGGTATAGGTTCGTGCGTAGAGACAAGAGGTGCAGACAAGATGCAGAAGTCATCTGTCCAAGGTCGTGCAATGCCAGTGACCAGGGTATTAGCCAGGAATGAGTATTGTGGGAGTGCAGAAAAAATATTTGGAAGCCCAATTTTTTTGTGTCTCAGCAAAGACCGCCATAGGCGTTCACGGGGTGAGGGTATGAGAGGGGTTCCCCCCTGTCATTGGGGGGGGGGTACGAGGGCCTAACCTGGAAATTTTAAAATGTAAAATGTAAAATAAAAATTTTTGGCTGTGCAGTTGACGGCTGCGCGGCTCGCTGGCTAATACGCTACCTTGAGTATCGCCGTCTCCGGGCTCGTGATCAGTGTAGTGTAGAGATTTGCCATCTCGTTTTCATTAAACTTCTCGTCCTCATTCTCATCGTACACGGCGATCAGCTTTCGGATCAGGCTGTCACTTATGCACACCTGTGGCCTGCAAATTACACGACACATGAGTGAGCACAATGAGTGTAAGCTAAAATAATGCAGCGGCTTTTGTGTTACTTTATTATTTTATTCAGTTTTTATGTATTTATATTTTTTTCACATGTCATAAAAAATAAATGTAGAAAAATTGATTTCCAACAATGCAAAAGGCATTTCATTATAATAATTATATACGAATGTATATATATATATATATATATATATATATATATTAGGGCTGTAACGATCCACCGAAATCGAATCGGATCGCGATTCTCTTCCCTCGATCCGATCCTCGATATTTTTCCCCGTATTTTCGGTTCCACTTCGATACCACTTTTTTCCTCCAATAGATAGCGGCACTACGCTATATACTGTGGAGTGTTACTCACCAATGTTACTCAGCGTCTCTGCAGTGTATATATACTCTCTAGACTCTCTAGTCTATTAACCATTTAGTATTCATTGGCAATTTCTAATAATTTATTATTGCAAAATAATGAAAATATAAAAAACAAGATAACATTACAATATTTTGGGAATCGAATCAAAGGAATCGAATCGAAAAGCTAATGAACCGGATCGAATTGAGAGGCTTGTGTATCGTTACAGCCCTAATATATATATATATTATAATCTATTTTATTTTAAACTTGTGTTTGTGCATGGTTCATTTATTTCCACATTGTTATTTAAATATGTATCTTGCTTCTCCCACACGAATACATGTCATGAGGAATATTTTAATGTTAATTAACATTAGGATGTATTGCAGAAAAACTAATTCCTCATAAAGTAACCTATATGCGTATGAGGTGAGTATAGATATATAGACAATTATAAGTAGGCTTAGTAAACCCACTGAGACCATTTGCTCAATAAGTACATAGCTCTCGTGTGGCACGATTACAGTAAGTTTTTCGTCTCGTCAGTAGTCAGCGTTAACAGGTTAACAGCAAACGCGTCTAGTCACTAGTGTCACGCCATCCCCTCACAAGTTGCCCCTGCTCGCACGCGACCGACGTGAGCGCTTACGTGTGAGTGTGGGCGGACGTGTGAAACGTCTTGTAGGCGTTGCGCAGGGCGGCGACGGTGAACGCCTCCGGTCTCGCGACGTACGAGCGCAGTGCTGCTGATGCCGGGTCACAGTTCTCCTGCAGGCCAGCGTTCTCACATAGCACGCGGTCAAACGCACGATATTCAGACTCCGCGAGCGTTGTGACCGTCACCTGGTGGTAGAGAGATGTATCGATACAATGATGACCTGATCATCGTTGTTCCACGATAGCCTGTATCGTATCAGTATTGTATTATATTGTACTATACTATACTGTACTGTATACTGTACTGTACTGTACTGTACTGACCTGGACTGTGTTGTACTGTACTGTACTGTACTGTACTGACCTGGACTGTATTGTACTTGACTGTATTGACTGTACTATACTGTACTGTACTGTACTGTACTATACTGTACTGTACTGACCTGGACTGTATTGTAATTTACTGTATTTGACTGTACTGTACTGTACTCTGTACTGTATTCTATTTGCATCGTTCCATTGTCTCACATATCAGTATGACCCTGACATAGACTGCAGAAAGGGAATTGTATCAAATCACAGGTAGCCAGTTTCACATGAATTTTAACTTGTGAGTGCGACCAGCCACATAACCACACCAACCTTTCTATCAGCAAACAACACCTAACAAACATGAAGAAACGAATCAAAGCAGATATTGTCGTAAATCAATACAGCTGTCTAAATGTTAAGCTACATTTCAAATCACGGCATAAACTCTGGGATATGCGATCCTGCCGAGGCATAAATAATGAGATGTGTATCGTATCGAACCTGATAGCTGCCGTGCCGGAATCCGGAGTAGAGCACGCGTCCGCCCCGCATCGACGGGTGAGCTGTGTCAATTGTCACGTACCCCTCGCTGAACTCGGAGCACAGCTCGCGTCCGTAGCACGCCGGGCACGTCGAAACACGAGACAACGCCTCGCCGACGCGGTCGAGACGGTGGTACGTCCCGTACTCGTCGTGCTCCTGCTGCTGCTGCTGATCGACGTCGAGCTCGATCACCGCCGCCGGCTCCCCCTGGCGGCGCGATGCCACACGAAGCTTCGGCCGCTCGTGTGCCGGCGCGCTCTGGGTGAGGTGCAGCTGGCGCAGGAGCACAAAGGCTACCGTGATGAATACAGCGAAGAAGAGCAGACGCTTGTAGTGCATGCGGAAGAGAAAGCGAAATGCCATCGCTGCTGTTGCTAGGTCCCAAGCCGGTATACACCAAATTTGGCGCGGTTGCTCATAGGCCTATGCAGTCTCCTGCTGCTTTGCTGAGAGAAATCTCCTTAAGTAGCAGCCACTCCCTAAAATTGTACACGAATTATATTACTAGCATAGTCTCAAACACAGAAGAAAATTTCCACTTTAGATTTATTCACCATCGATTCAGAAGTGCGCAACTCAAGTCATTTGCGAGTAGTTTTAGCACTGGGTTGTATTATCTGGATGCAGTGTAAATTAGTACTAACGAATTTTAACTTGTGGGTGGGGGTTGTGTAGTTGTGCCCATCCTAATTTAAATTAGTAATCTAAGTGTGGCGGTGGCACCGGTCACCACGGTTCCCAGCTAGGTAATTGTGAGGTAGCTCACTGGGAACCACGGGCAGG